GGGGGGAAACTGAAAAAAAATTGAAATGAAATGAGAAGAAGAAGCACGGGGAAGAAGAGATAGAGGAGAGAGAGAATGAGAATTAAAATTAATAAAATAACATAATTTTCTTGGGACCCGTGAAAGATTTTTAGGTTGTATATAGGTCCAAAAATAAAAAGGGATTGGGAAATCTATGTTAGGCCTCTGTCATTTACTCAGTTGCAAACAAGTCCAATCTAAAAAATAAAAGACAACTTTTATACTTGATAAATTCCTTATAACCCCCTGCATTATCATAAATTAGTAGGAAGTCCAAAAACTAGTATATGAGGGTTATAAAATGTTGATGAATTGCTAAAGATAGTAATAAACTCATATGTACTGCAGAATTTTATTATTATTGGTTATATTTGAACTTATTAGGCTCTAGATTATGAATTGATTTCCCTTATAATATATGTTTGTCCTAAATTAATAATTAGTCTTACATTTTATATTATAGGATTTGGTTGATATCCAGGGGACTAATATTTTGGGATAGTCGTGTCCACTAAAGGTGAGTTCATTTCTCACTAGTATTTTATAATATGAAATTGCATGAGTATTATATTTGATTTATCTTGTGATCAAAATAAATAAATAATATGTTATTTTCATGTATATAAAGATTTGACCTATTTCTGTTATGGTTTATCCTATAATACGATGTTAGCCTCGTACAATATATGAAAGGAAATTTTGATTTTTATGTAAAATATAAAAAATGAATTTGGCTCTCATGCAATTTTCAAATAATTGTGGGCATTGTTTTATCTGAAAGTTTTTGATGAAGTAGTTGGAATGTATTTCAACAGTTTAACGGATTCAAAGATTTTCCGTGACTTAATATCTGATAAAAGAAAAAGTACAAATCTGTAAACTGTTTTAACTGAAATGAGGAGCTTTACATTGTCAACTTTATTTGAAAATATCTGTAAATTCTGATATGCAAAGTATTACTCATTGGACATGTGATCTCGATGTTTTCAAACCCTCAAATTGTCCACTATGGATTGTTTATGCCTATCATATGGTGAATGCACCTTTATTTGGCCCCTCTATATTGGCCCTTCTGTATTGGCCCTTCTGAAATTTATTCTGGCTCCTCTGTATTTGGCCAGTAACCTATGACAATGTTAGGTGCATTCGATTCCCGGGAATTATCTGTCATGTGATGCGTTTTACGCATTCCCTTGCTACTGGGCTATAATTCGTAGCCTTAGTGTGACCTATGAGATGACTTTTACATTCATAAATAACTCATCGAGAATTTAGATTTTGATAATTGAGTGTGAAATTGAGAAAACAATAATTCTCTGGTTTGTACAAATTAGTAGTTTTTTCCGTCTTAATGTTTACCTTGATTCAAAAAAGTTTTGATTTCAAGAAACTTCACAGTATATTCGGTTGCACATAAGAAAGAAAATATAATTGTTGCATTCTTTCTTAAAGACGACAATATTATGATATTTGGATCGTATTTTGCTATCTTTGAATTTCTCATGCAAAATTTTTAATTCGTTATTTCTACGAATTATTCTTATTACTATTTTGTTAGTTATCTAGGAACTCTAGTGGGAAATGTTCTCACTGAGCGCTAGCTCACCCCGCTGTTTTTTAAAAAAAATTCAGATCCGGCGTAGCTTCATACTAGCCGAACTTTTGGTTTGAGATTTTGGCTGAGAGGCGTTATATGGAGAGCCTCTTCTTTTTTATGTTACATTCAGCACAATTTGTTTTGTTTTGTAAAAATGTTTATAACGGTAAGCTTGTGGGCTGTAAATACAGATTATATACATATATAGTTGCTCTGACTTCTATCAACATGTTTATGAATATTTTGTGATAAACTATGTGATATGAAGTGACAGGCTTGACTCGTGCATAAGAATTGTCTCGTGCACAGGTCGTTGTTGTCACGTAACATGTATTTACAAATTTCCGTTGCAGTTTCGGGACGTGATAGAAAGACTCAGGCTTAGCTCATCCGAACGATCCAAATCGGATCGAGTCCAGATTCGAAGAAAAAACGCCGCCTAAATCATGCCTTTCGTTTTCATTCTCTGAATCTTTGACGCGTTCCGACGCACGCTTTCATCCTACAATTCTCCACCGAAATCTCCACTTTTATGATTTTATCCTATTTTATATTATTTCCTTTTCTAATATTTATACCAATGAACAGCTGCAATAATATGAAATCTTCTCCGATTATTAGCTCACGGTGCTCACAAATTTTATTAGGGGGAATTTTTTTTAGAATTAATATAAAACTATAATTCTTGATCCTCACCATAATTTCGGAGTTTTAGTGAAAGGTTAGAGGAACTAAATTTAAGATGGTATCAGAGCAACCCAGGTTCAAATCCCACTGGACACGAATTAAATGCGGATTTTCTAAAAATTGACACCGCTACGTGAGTCCAGGTTTCGACCCATAAAAAAAGACGTTTAACCTGCAGGGGCATGTTAGAATTAATATAAAACTATAATCTTTGATCCTCACCATAAGTTCGGAGTTTTGATCTAATGGTTAGAGGAACTAAATTTAAGCTTTTTCCTTAGTCTACTTTAAGCAAGTCCCCGAGTAGCATCAAAAAATGCAAACAAATATATCACATGACCTTCCAACCAAAATTGACCAAAACCCTTTATATATAAGAGTGCTACCATAGAGTAAAACCCCTCATCCAACAAAACCCTTAAAAAAACCCATCTTTATCTCTTTTAGTTCTTCCCCATCAGCAGCAGACAACCATGGCTCACACCAGCTCCAGCCTCGCCGCACTTGTCTCCAGGGAAACACAAGACCCGACCCGATCCATATCCGACAAGTATCGGGTTATCAGATTCTGATTTATGACATGATTCGTTCGCTATAACTGTAATTGCAATGCAAATATCGGTTGCATATAATTTCTGGTCGTTGCAATTGTTATTGACAGAGTCAAAGCTAAACATTTCTCGTGGGTTTTTCAACTTTTGGAATTGGAGTTGGGTTCGATTTGTAATTATACTTTAGATCTCATTTGCAACTCATAAAAGAAATTGCAACTATAAGTCTATAACCAATATCGTAGTCAGTATAAGTCATAGGTAAAGGTTGCTTTTATCAATTGAAGTGAAACAAAGCACTGCAATAAACCTAAGATGCCTACTGCATGCTCACAGTTGCATTGATCAATTACGGTGAAATCAGCCACGGCAACTAATCTAAAATATCTCAATTACACGCAACTGCAGTTACGCCAAACCAAGCGACCCCCTGGCTCCTTGGTCGTTTTCTTTGCAGGAGGGGGTTCGCGTCGACGACAGCAGCGACAACAAGGTCGAGCAAGAACGCAGCAGAGGAGAACATCACGGCGGCGAATAGGGTCGGAGAGTTGGACCCAGCGGATCTCCGTCGCATCCTGCTCCCTCGCAAATCTTCTTGAATTCGAACGCCGGGATTTCGAAATGTTTGTTTGTAGCAGATCTGTAGAGCTCTAAGAGTACTCTAAACATGTCATCAGAGATTGAATGTTGCCTTTCAGAGATCGAACTCTGAATTATCTTACACAACATATGCTTTACTTCAAATTCACATTCAAATAACAGTTCAAGGTTCAACATAAAATTTCGCACTCATCTAAGTTTCCTGCAAATATACACGGCATATCGAACTTTTTGTTAATGTCAAAAGGCCAAGTAAGAAGACATACTATCGCTCACAAATAAAACCTTAACCAGATTCCTTCTCTTTATTCCATTCGTTCTTTCAGTAAATAGTAGACCCTCTTCTAATTCCTTCACCAGCATAAACCTAAACTATTACCACATAATGAAACTAACTGAATACTGGCAACTATTTAAAAAAATGAGTTACATTATGTCATAAAGGAGAAAATATCAAAATAACAAACTCGTTTATGGTCGTTTTAAGAGAAAAATTGCAAAATTTTGTTTTTAAAAAATTGCAAAAGGATACCTATTGTTGCTTAAACTGATATAGAGTGAGAACAGAGCTTTGCAACAAATTTTAGAAGGCTAAATTTTTTTTAAAGAATCTAACAAAGGGAAGGAGATAAAGCCCTACAATAAACTTCACAAGATCATGTAAAAACCTGTACTCTAGTAACAATATCTAATCTGCCAGGGATAGCTCATAATCAGAATAGAAGAATGAGAAATCGGAACTAGAACAAATATGATGTTCGACAGAGCTAAGAAAAAATTATATAGTTGATGGTTTCAACCTAGAGTGGCTATGAGAAGAAAGGGAAGAATTTGGACAGTTGTTGGGTAGCAATCTAGACCCTATAGAAGCAAATAGACTTTCCATAAGCAATCTACGCGCAACTGTGATTTTTTCACACGCCTGAATAATTGCTAAGCATCACTCCTCCAACGGCAAAAACAGGACAAAGCCAACAAATCCTGTGGATGCTCTGAAATTGAACCATAAAAATCAGAGAATATGATTCTAAGGTCAACGCGGTGATATGCAGGAACCTTCCCTTGCTAAATTAGTGGATTTAAAATATCTTATGCAAACTACCATGTCTTGCAACAACAACAAACAACAACAACAATGTTGGTGGTTTACATGAATCATGTTCTTCGATCAATTCATATTCTTTCATTCGGTTCTGTTAAGGGTCATCTCCTCCACTAAGTTAG